ATATATATCAAAATTAAATGTGTCAAATGTAATCTAAACCGAAATATTAACTAGTTAGCTGGAGTGAATCGAAGTCTATTTTAACAGTGACTTTTAGTACAGTAACCTTGTTAAAGCTATCGAATCTTTAAAGATCAAAACTTAAACATCTATTTTGAAAGAAAAAATTATCAAAAAATTGGTTACGAGTAGTTAGTTACATTTGCGTAAGCTTAATTCCTAATTGTTCAAATTTTCGTTGAAAGGTCGAATTTTACAGTAACGATCTAAATATATTTAGGAATACCAAGCAGAGCACAACTATATAAAAGGGAATTAGAAGTCCTTGACAAGTTTATGAAAGATTTCACGTAAAGTAACCAACCGAGGAAAATAATCATTCATAATTTGCTCTCGTTGCGATGAAAGGGCAAGTATATAAATTACCTCGTTTCAATGTTGTTTAGATTTCACTGAAGAGTTTCACAGAAGTATACTTCTTCTTCTTCTTCTCTCTCTCTCTCTCTTATATATATATATAAATAAAAAAAGAAAACATTTTTATAGGAAAAGGAAAAAAAACCCATCAAAAATAAGAAATTTACAAAAATAAGAACCTTTTCAAGATTAGTTTCCAGAACAGCTAAACCCAATAAGACTCCTATACCAAATGTATGACACAATTTTGAATGTTTTTTCCCAAAAAATGACTGAATTATAGAAAAAATTTATATTCGTTTGTTTTTTTAAAGAAATAAGTAGTATTGTGTTTTTATTACTAATTTTGGGGATTTTATATCCGGAACAAAAATCATTAATTAAAAATTACATTAAGTTCCGGACAAGGCATGGATGTTCTTTCAAAGTCTGTAATATTTGTCCTTACTGTGGAAGCAATGTAGATACACCTAATATGGTGCGTGCCCTTCAAAGAGTGGCCACCAAATCTGCCCTACTGATACCTGAAAGTATTTTTTGTGAAAAAAATGGAATGCGGAAAAATAATGAAAAAGAGTAAAGACAACTAATAAAGGTTTGTAAAATAACGTCAAAGAACTATATTATGGGAAACATCTTCCTAAAATATATACTTTTGGATTAGGATGATCCATTTACATTTTAAAACAAAAATCTTGTTAATTAAGTTTATATACTTATGTCTTATAAACATATTTAGTTATAATATAATATTTTGTTTTGTAGGCCATGGTATTTTACAGCGAAGGTATGCGGTTACCCTATTGGGTTTCCTTTGTTCTCTGGTCACACATTCCCAACGATTAAATATTAGTATTGCCATGGTTGCCATGGTGAATTCCACCAATATACAATCAATCGCCATTAATAAAAATACTACTGAATGCCCATATACAGCTGCAGAAAAAGGATATGCTAAAGTTGTAAGTAAAATTCCTTCTCTGGTTGTTAATGCTTTTTTCTGAGGCTTGTTGACATTGTTGTTACAACTTTTAAAACTACTACGAAAAATTAAGATTAAAAAATTCTAATTTGGATTTATAACTATGTCATTTTTTTTCCTTGAAAAATTGATTTAAATAAGTTATTGTTGGATAGAGGATGACTTGGACTCTTGGAGGACACTTGACACCTTGGCAAATGTTTATACTTTTATATACATTTACACGGTGACAAAATTGACTATTTTGTAGTAAATTATAAAACTTTCTCATGTGGAGAAAGAAAATTCTTAATTTGCTTTTTCATTGCTACGTAAAACTATTCTTGTTGATTGTTCAAACATTAAGAAAACTTTTTACTCGAGAAATCAGTGTCGGAACTTATAAAACGTTTTACAATTATTGTTTTAACAAAAAGGCAAACTACAATAGTATACTTTTATAAGTTACTGTTAAAAAGATTTGTTAAATGATGACGATCAGCTTAATACAAAATGTAATGCGCAAAATGAGTTTAATATATCAGCCTGTTTGGTAAGTTTGGTAAAATATTAAATTATGGTAGTAATGCCACCAAATTTGTTACAACATTATACCTTTAATTTGAGATGTTATGTAAAAAATATTATTAAGCAAAATTATTTATATTTATTAATAGATATTAATAGAATCATAAGAGAATAGATGTTTTTTTTTCTGTCCAGGTGGAGCAGAAAGGGAGTTAATCACTGCAAATATGTGTTTAAGCTTTCATAACATCTATGTTTGGTTTTTATTGGCTTTCTTTGCTTCCAGTTATGGCAGAAAATCAAGGTTGATTTATTTATTTGTATTACACTGTAGTGCAAATATTTTAAATGAATAATTATAACTTTCGTAGAAAAAACTGTCTTATGCCTTTTATGTGTTATTTTATTAGAAGCAACAATTATGGCAAAGAAATAATCAGGGTTGCTAAGCGATGGTGGATAGAAGGCTTAGCTCCCTAGTAAATAAATAAAAGAAAAATAAAAGAAAATGAAACAAAAAGGTTTTTTGTCTGCCCCGCTGCCAAAACAGTAGCAAAATTTGTCGCATTGTTTTATCAACCAAACCTAAACACCTGTTAAATAAAAATAAAATATTGTTTTATCCGTTAATCATTGAAAAGCATTCGAATAAAAATAATGTAATAGAATAAACAATATAAACCAAGATTCATTTTTATATTTAAACCGGTTTTTTTTATTTTCTACAAATTCACCTCAGTATAAACAAAACTGTTTATGGTACATAAGCAAATTGAAACCAATATTTTGAAGACTAACCTTTTTGAAATTTTCAGCATCATTCAGAATTTTCATGGGATCCAGAACTACAAGGCTACATTTTGAGTGCTGGATATTTAGGTTATGTTTTCAGTCAAATACCTGGTGGAATTCTTGCCGGTAGATATGGCACAAAACCGCTTATTGTGGCAAGCGTTTTGTTTGCTTCTATCTGCAATTTGCTGTCACCAATTGCAGCAAGACAACATCCTTACCTCCTTGTAGCGGTGCAACTAATTCGAGGAATGAGCCAGGTGAAATTTTATAAAATTATTTATGTCTATTAATTTCGACTGCATATTTTGCAATTAGTAATTTTACATGAATATTCATCAGAAGTATAACTTATGAACATATAACGATATTTTCCTAATCTCAGTTGAATAAAAAAGTTTAAATTTTTTGAAGAGTTTTTATTTGTTAATTCTTATTACAAAATCATATAATAGCTTTATTAGTTTGATTGCCTTAGTACCATTTACTGACAAATATAGCCAGTTTTCTGCATATCATCAATGTTTATTTCAGAAAATATAAGGAACTAGGTAATAGTACACAAACAATTGTTACTATGGGTAAAGAAATCATTTTAAATCATAACACTGAAGCAAAAAAACTAAAATTAATTATTATGAAACTTTAGAAAAAACCAATAATTATGTATAGGAGGGCATTTTGGATCATGAAAAAAAGCTGAAGAAAATAAGTTATTAATATTTGAACAAAAAATACCAAGAAAAATAGTTGCTGCTGCCAAAGAAAATGATGTTTTGAGAATCCGTTATAAAAAAGAACGTAACACCAAATTCAGAGAAATATTTTGAAGATTATAAAGGTATATCAATTAAGATGGTTTAGACATATCTACAGATTTAACGATTTAAACCCAATGAGTGAAAAGACAGTTAAAAAATGTGAAAGAAAAGCGATAGACCCAACACTAGATGGCTTGATATAGCTGGCGAAAGGTGACCTAAAATTGGTTTTAACCGTTGGAGAACTGTAGGAACGGATGACTCCCAATGGAATAAACTTTTGGAGACAGCCTTGGCCTGCAACTGGATGTTGAGCTACAGAAGAAGATAATAGTTTATCAAAACTGAAATAAGCATTTCGTATTTACGTATCTAAAGTGCTTCTATGCTATCATGCAAGAAAATGCTAATCATTTGCTGCAATTTTCTATTATCTCTTTGTTATATTTTTAATAATATAAAATAAAATGTCACCCTTGAAATGGTAAACGTTAGGATTATAGAATTGATATGATTCTGATTATATAGGATATGATTCTGATTGATAATGTTTTGCTTTAGAGTGTTAAAATTTTCTGCAATTTTCTTAAACATCTACTTCAAATTTCTCACATTGTTTACAACGTAATAATACTAAAGAATGTGTTAGAATATTGACGTTTTGTACAACTTGTGTTAATAGCTTTTTTTTTATCAAAAAAAAAATTACTGTTTGTAAATAACCAAAAATAGAAATTTTTTTCCCCTTTAAATGTTTTATTTACAGAGTGATTTACACTCGTATGTGTTAAAAGAATATTACCATTGCCAAAGAGTTTAGGCTGTGTTTGGAGTTGTACTGTCCTTTGGTGTAGAATGATGTAGACTAAGAACTAGTTTTAGTTTGCCACATAAAAATTTATGTGCATGTGTTTGCAAACTTCGCAACTTACTTAGCAAGACTTACTTAGAGTGTTACCTATTCAGACCGTGGAATCTCTTTGAGAACTGAATTTATCATCTGTCTTCATCAGCTGTTTCACTGACATGGCCTTTGCGCCATCTAAGAATTCGAAAACTGAATGTTTACCAAAAATATTTACCAAGTTTTTCACTTTTTGTAACATTTCTACTTTTTAAAATTCTCTTAATGGACTTAAACTTAAAAAGTAATTTTTTTAAAAATTTTTGAATAAAACGTTTCTGAATGGTTTGAAGGATTTTATACTGTAGTTCTATTATCATGACCTAGGTTTCAATATTTAGCTGCAACTTATTATTATATTTAATATTATAATTTATTGTTATAATTTCATTATAATTTATTATTATAATTTATTATTATAAGTAATTATTATAATTTATTATTATAATTTATTATTATAATTAATTATTATAATTTATTATTATAATTTATTATTATAATTTATTAAATTATAATAATAATTTTATAATTTAATTTTATAATTTCATATTATAATTTATTATTATACTTTATTATAATGATTAATTATAATAATAAGAAACTTTTTATTAAGAAACGAAAAATTTTAGACAAAAATAAGACTATACAAGCATCTGATTTCGTGTCATGTGATTTCAGGGTTTACTGCCATCAGCTTTATCTCTTTTGATGGCTCGATGGTTCCCAAAATGTGAGAGAGGTTTCCTCTCAGCTTTTATTTATTGTGGTTTTCCCGTTGGAGCTTTCATTGGTAGTTTGGTGTCAGGCCCAGTTTGTGAAGTCAGCCTTGACAACGGATGGCCTTTTGTATTTTACATTTTTGGTAAGTAATGAAGTTAATCAAAACTTTCGTTTAATTGAAAAACTAAAAAAAAATAAACTTTTTGAAATACACATGGGTAACAGCTTTTATTGAAAATGTTTTTAGTTGCGTTTGAGTGAATGTTGATTTAGCATATAAATACTTCTTAGCATTTTCTCTCATTTATTAATTGATTTTGGATTTATTTAATAACAATAGAATTTTATTGATTTTTGCATTATTCAATTTTATCAGTTTAAAAATTAAATAATGTCTCGACTCTTTGCCTTAAAATGTGTGGTGAAAGTATATTAAATGCACAAAATTACATTTATTATTCAATTTCATCATTATAATACGGCAAAAGTGCCTTAGTGTGCGTATCACAAATTCATTCCGTGCATTTATTTGTTTTACTGAATTTTAATTCTTTAAATGTAATAAACCGGGCTAATATACTGTTAACTTAATTCTTAAAAAATGCCCTTAATAAATACAAAAAGAAAACCCACTAAAGCAGAGGTCGGTAGCCTATTGAAAAAAAAAAGGGCTGAAAGTTACAATTTACAAAATTTCCCAGTTTTTAACACTCCGTCGGGCGCGTCTCGAA